TTCCTCTTTAACAGAAAGTAGAGGAAAGCAAGATAACAAAAACTGCAAGATAAACCTCCAAGTGGGTCCTCCTTAGTATCCCCAAAAGGACACAATCCCCTTGAGATCCTTTAAAATTAGTACTAGGGTACAATAATAGATTCTTTAAAGAGAGATTTCAGTTTAATTATCTTCTTCCAATGTTTTTAGTTTTTTTTTTTTTCATAGAACCACCTAGTAAATAGGGCGATTATATAGAAATCATCTACAAATTTTAATTTATATCAAAATCACATAAAAAGTATAAACCAGATGGCAGTAACGTGTATTATTTTGAAATTTTTGGACATTTATCGGTAACATTTAAATCCCTTAACGTGTTTTTTATCCGATTTGAAAAAAGAGGCCACTTAAGTGCAAGGTCGGAAAAAGTATAGGGCATTCAAGTGGAATTAAGCCGAAATAGAATCGATGCTTCGTTGAATTAGAACTAACTTGGATTAGGCTGCTCCAAACCTAATTTGAAATAGTTGTCAAGTTCCCAAAATGACCCAAGGTAATATACGAGGATGGATTACGCGAATAAGATGTCCTCAAACAAAATAAACAAAAAAAAAGAAGAAGCAAAAGTCAAACTCTATGAATAGGTGACCAAGAATTTCATTGTAGATCCCAACCAAATCAAGTTCAAGATATCCACCACTAAACCTTACCATAAACTTTACCATAAAAACAATGATTTAGACCAGGCAAAAGATGTTACGTCCTGCAAATAAGGAAAGCTAAGAGCATCTCCAACAGCTTCCCCAAAATTTTCTCCAAAATGGAGAAACAAAAGTCATATTCTCCAAATTATTTTTGCTCCAACTCCAACAGCTTCCCCATTTTGAAAAATCGCATTTATTACAATAATAAAGCTCTCCCCAAAAATTTGGAGAATGCTGCAGATTTGGGGAAGGCTCCCTATTTTTTCTCCTCCTTCCCTATTTTGGGGAATGGGATGGGGAATCTGTTGGACTAAAAAAAAGCTCTATATTCCCCAAAATTGAGTATTTCAAGAAGATGAGGAAGCTGTTGGAGATGCTCTAACAGGCTACAATTCCAAGTCCAAATCTGCGACAGCCTAACCAAAATAAATAACGCCGATCAAGTGCTCTAATAATTAGAGGACAACACCAAATCCATCTGGGTCCAACTAAACCAATGCCGACATGATCCGACACGACAAGCAACAACTAAACAGCCATCAAAAGCTCTGGGAGCTACAATTCATCATCACTGTCATCCAACTCTACAGAATGTATCACAAACAAACAAATTGGGCCCAGCACATTCATACTGCTCCATTGAACCCACGAAAATTGAAGCTTGGCATGCATAAACCATAATTAGTAAGAGTAAAGAGACACAAGGAAAGCTACCTTCCTTTGTATATGTATAACCATACCAAAATGTAAATAATTATGTTTAGAATCACTAACCAATGGTAGAAACTCGGGTCGGGTCGGGTTTAAATTGCATTGAATAGGTGCTCGTTGTCTGAAATCAAAACTCAACCCAAAGACTGATAATTCCGATTTTTGGGCCGACAATATCGGCTGATAACTCACTTTATCGTCGCATTATCGGCGATAAATATCCAAAAACGATAACTGATTTAGAATCGAACTTATCATAGCAGAAGGGCCCCAAAACCGATAAATCGCCGATAGTATCGGTTTATCGGCCTATATTTAAAACGTTGATAATTATTATGAGGCCCTTGATAGCTTTGAAAAAAGATCACTGATTTGTGCCGAGAATGCGTAACAGCGCCTTGGCGGATGCCCTTTGGAATAATTCTATGTGCCGACGTAGATGTTTTTGAAAAATCATGCATGCTTCAGGATTTACTCGCGTGACGAACTGAAATGCTTCAATAATGAAGAGTAGAAACACTACTGCTAACCAAAACCAAAACCAAAAGAGCGATCTGATTCAAGAAAGCCAACCTACGGATAACTGTTCTCGAATAGGCTACAAACGAAGAACTAAAGAGGTAAACCACCACTTAACGATATCTATCTGCCCTCATCTGAGGCGTAATTCCTCTTCAGACTCTGGAATAGTGTAAATACCATCGCATTTGATGTGAATCCAATGTCCATAAACCACCTACACTTAGGAGAGTCGTGGATGGTCGATCAATAAGCAATCACTTACAAGCTACAGCAATACCTCAATGTCAGCCTAGGACAGAAGGGAAGTGCTTATTTATAGCAAAAAGGTAAAATCCCACGTCTTTTCTTTAATCAGTAGGTAATGGAACGTAGAAGCGTTGGCGAGGATTTTGAAGCCAAAGACAAGTAGGGCATGGGAAAAATTGATATCGGGGATATACAAATCCCGAGAGCAGACCATGGTTCACTTCAGTTGAGAAGATCAAAAATCCAGCGTGAGTTTAATAGCCAATGCAGTGTGCACATAATGATGAATGCCATGAATCTCCAGACTTTCAGGAGAGGATGACAAGTGTGATATGGCAGAGAGCTAGACAAAAACAAGAACCATTGATTACATGGACCTCCAATTATGCTCAACAGCTTAATTGGCCAACAAGTGGGCAAAAGGGTTGACTGAATCTAACATAGAACTTCATACCTAGATAAATTAATGCCTGTATACAATTAGCATATCAAAAACTTATGATCTTGCCTTTTAAAAGTAAATTTTTCTAGATTATCCAAATCCAAAAGTTTGGAGCATCAAGGGCTAACATGAACATACCCTTCAATTATAATTCGTGCCATAAAACACGAGCAACACAAAAGAAAAGTCATTCAATAGAGAGAGGATCACTATGTTGAGAATTAAGGAGAAACAAAATGGTATGAAGAAACAAAATGGTAAGCAAAAGAATCATGCCTTGAAAACCAGAAGATATGGACAGTATCACATATATTTACATGAAGGTGATCCAGCACAAAAAGAGAATATATGAAGAAGAAGAAAAACTCACCTAGAAAGAAATGCCTTTTACAAGATTGTGAAATCACACAAAAAAAACTTTACATCTAACATACCGCAGGAGATTTCCAAAGCCGATTTCGTAACACAATCAGGAGCACCAGTCCCAGCAGGAAAAAGAGGTTGGAATTTGCCCAGTTTTTCTGATGTACTCAGCTTGTTTTGCTGTTCTCGCAGCTTGTTTCCTTCTTTTTGCCTCCGCTGCCACACGCTTTTGCTCAGCTTTATGCCTTGCAGCTGCAAGCTGATTCATAAGCTTCTCTTGTGCAATAGCCCTCATCTTTTCCACCTCAACCTAAAGCAAATAGGCATGAATGACAATAAGCTTCAGGTTGAAGGATGTTATGGAACAAATATCTATTTCTTTTAGCATCCAACAATCCACTACATTGAGTACAAACTACTAGTCTCCCTTCCCACTACCTGCTATGCAACTTCAGATTTTTCACAATAGAACAAATGTATGTACTTTCTTGCTACTTCAATTGATCTGTCTTGTCTCCTTTCTTCACATGTTTAATATGGCAAATAAGGAGAGGTCAATCAATCAAAAAAAAAAATGCTGGCTCTTCACGTTAAGGGCAAACCTAAAGAAAATTACCCTCCTTATGTGGTTAGGGAAAAAGCAAAGAAATATATCAATTTAGGACAATATAAACCAGACTAATGACATTTATTCTTGTCAGAACAAATATCTTAACAACTTTAGGGCTTTCTATGAATGATGTTTTTCTGGTCCATATTCCATACCACAGCCTGCTTTTTACAAGTGAAACTTTAAGAGACTGTTATCTAATTGATCATATTTAAACAAAATTTTCTCAGAGGTCACCTCCTATTTATAACAAGGAAGCACATTCGCTTACTGACTCAAGCGTCCGCTGATGATTATTTGTACTCTTACATTCAACCATTATAGTATAACCTACGAGCCCATAGTATCTAGCTTGACTTCATAGTATCAAGACTGTCCAGGACGTTCAACATGGTTGACAAAAAAACGATTAGGCCCTAAATGTACAGACTCTCTAACATTGGTATGCTACATGCCAACAAAGAACCGTGGTCTCTTTGCATGTTGTTTTTCAAGGCAACTATTTTTTGCGGTTTAATCCATTTCCCAAAAACGTATTTGATGGAGCAACAGCCATGGAGTGAAATCAGAATGAAGTATGAAGGCATTAATCATAAAACAGATATTATTGTTATAAGAAACAATGTCAAAACAGATCCATATTGTTTACCTGTGCAAGTTCAAATGTTTAGCACTTGGTCACTAAATTTTGCTAAATTATATATTTAAACTTTAGGCCCTAAACACTTGAAATTCTAGATAAGATAAATTAACTACTGAACTTGACCGCACATGTAACATGCGGCTGAATATACCTGTGTAGCATGTGTATAATCTATCTTTAAAGATAAAGCAATGTTTCCTGATAATGTGTGATTCTTCAAAAAAAATGTATGCGACAGACGAATACGCATCTCTTATGTTTGAACAACGGGCACACTTGTTTTATCTCACAGTTGTGACAGACAAATATGAGAGAAGAGATATTGAGATAGATGATGAGAGGCAGGAGAAACTGTTGGTTTTATTGTATAGTTCATGTAATCTTTTCTCACCACAGTAAACTTCATATTGGTCTCCGGTGAATGTAGGTCGAATTTGGTTGAACTGAACAGCAGAATATTGTCACTTTCTTGGTTTTTCTCTCTTATGTGCTTGAGTGATTGAAGGAGATTCTCATCCCCAACATAGCATGCATGTATGTATACTCTAGTGGCAGACTAGTACATGCAATATCATGCAATTATATCTGAAAAAATAAATTACTTGTAGAAATCAATAGATGTTACCTCAATTCTCCTCATTTCAGCCTCGGTTTTTGCCTTTTGATGATTTTCCCATGCTTGAATTTTGATTTCTTCCTGTTTAAACCTGAAAAGGTTATTGCACTATTTCAGTCTAGGTCCGTATGAAACACCATTGCATCAAATGGCTTTAGGCATGATCTTAATGCAAAGAATAAAAACAAAATGCTTCTATCTATGGAAATCTGAGGTTCAAGGTATAACCTAGCCAAATACTTGGCTTTCTCTGTATCCTCCCAGGCTGTTGCACGGGCCTCATTTACACTTTTAGATGGCTGGTCTACTGGAACAGTTGCTACAGCTTCATTACTTTCCTCCTCTTCTTTACTAGCCCAAGCTGCAATACTCGTCTTACCCAATTGCTGTCCAAGAGCCATTATTTCTCTTCTAGTTTTCATTTTTAATTCCTTTTCTGATAACTCTTGTTTGTCAGAATTCCCGAGATTCTCAGCTGACTCATTTGTAACTGAAGTTGGTCCAGTTTTCACCGGGGATAATGGACGAGAAGAATTTGGACTACGTGTCGGTGTTGTAGATCTAATAGGAGTTCCTGTCTGTGATGCTTCCTGGCTAGCAATAGGAGTCATTTCTGTCCCCATATCCCTCATGGGTACTGATGTTACTGCCAACGGTGGTGCAATAGATGTTGCACCGCTTTGTAGAGAAGTTGATGTATCATGCACGCTGAGATTAACTGCAAAATTTTGTACATAAATGATTAAAAATATCACAAATACAAAACTCGAGTAAAAGCAGTCTAGACTCAAGCATGCAAGCTGAAAAATAGATCTCTAGAGATGACTGGATGTACATAAATGAAATCCTATTTACGAGGATCTGCAGAACACACTTTCTAATGCCTCGTGAGAATTATATGACGACATCTATATTTAACAAAGCACAAAACTTGTAAATAATATTGAAATACAAATAACATTGATTAAATAAACTCACCTCAAGAATTTAGTGAAGATAAAAGAAACTATTAAACAAACAATTTACCTAGAAGAAACATATGAACACCAAGGTGCATTGTGGGTTATGTGGTTGGGTGGCCTAACCAAGATGTGTGAGCGTGTTACTCCACTATGGCCTACGGGAATAAGCAACAAACACCAGTACTTATTGCAGGTTCTCGATTTTACCTCTGTTATTGGGTTGAGGAAAAATGTCTGTGGTTGAGTTATACTGTCCATAGACTTGTATGATTAACAATATCTCATATAGAAAGAAAAATAAACCCATTGATTCCTAGCTTTAA